CTGGAGGACCGGGACAACAGATGAGGGGTGGCGGTTGAGCGCGACCACCGGCCGGCGCCGCACTGTCGCCGAGGAAGGCAACTCAAATCGACGAGGGTTTTGTTTTTGGGATTTGGGATTTAGGATTTTTCTCTCTCTATCGGGGATGAGGCGAAAAATAAAATCGTCTCACTTTTCAACTCTCACAAAACTGAGTTGCATCTCTCTTGTCACGTCGCCCATCCTTTTCCACTGATCAAGTCTGTTTCATGCTAAAACNNNNTATGAGTTTATGGCATCTCAAGTTAGAAAGTTCATATTCAAATTCAAATTCACTTAAGGAATTCTTCTCCAATTATTATTCCCAAATTTAAGAAGATATTTTTAAAATATTTATTTAAGAAGATATTTTTAAGATTTTTTTATATGACCATATATTTAATAATTACTAGTATTTGATCCTGTGCATTTGCACAGATATAAAACACATTTTTGTTTATATTTAGTAATTAGATATGTACTTCTATCATATAAAAATTATTACTTTTTCTTAAGTTATTTTTATCATTCAAAATTAATTAATATTTAAATTTTATTTTAATCATGCAACGTTTACATTAGTAACATGAATAAAATGATTTATATATTTGTGGTATATATTAAGAAAATTAACATAAATAAAAAATATTATTGGTGTTTCTGATTTTAGAAAAAAAAAAATTAGTGTCAATCATATTTTTCTTCCAACAATTCAACCAAATATAGCGGTTACAACTCTAAATGTGCCAATCAACTTTAAGTTCCAACATAGTTGTTACACATTTGGATATTTTGCTACCAAATTTAGAATTAATTTAGTAACTGATCCAAAAAATAAATAATATATATATATATACATATATATTTATATTTATATATATATATATATATATATATATATTAAGGTGTAACGGTTTGAGCATATTAGTGATTAATTAATTAAAAAAAATTAACTCCTTTTGGAGGGAAATGAACATAAGTTTTATTAAATGCATCAACTAGTAATTATATATACTAGTATTTGATCCTGTGCACATGCACAAAAAAATCAAATTATTATAACTTATAAGTTACTTATATGTGTATAATTGTAAAATTATAAGTTAAATAATAATATCACATTTTAAAAATTTTATCGTTAGTAAAAATGAACATCATAAAAGTATCCAAATTCATCACTATATTTATTATATAAAATAAAATGTATAATTATTTTTCATTATATTCAACTAATATAGTGAAGTAACTTGAGAATTAAATAAAAACATTACATATAGGTCTTCTCATCGTCGCTCCCAAAAACCCTTCTCATCGTCGCTCTAAAATTTGTCGCCGGTTTGCCTTCCCCAGCGACGGCGGGATCTGGGCCAGAGGTCGCCTTCAACTGCTCGACCCGCCTCTGATGTTGTGCTTCCCCAATTTTGCTGTATCAGGTCCGAGACTAGGGTTTTGCAGTAGTTCCTTTCGGCGGGCTTCAGTTTTTCGAGATGAATTCTCGAGCGCTGGTCGCCGGCGGGTATGCGGTGGTGTTAGGCGGAGTGAGGATCAATGGGTGGGGCGAGGCTCTAGTGGCTGCGGCGGGTCGCGTCGGGGCTGTCGGAGTTAAGGGACTGAGCCGTCTCACCCCCCTGTTCGGCTAGTGGTGTTAGGCGGGGGCGGGGGCTCCGGATCACTCGAGATCGGCTAGTGGTGTTAGACGTTTTCGGGTGAGGCTGGTGTGGGGGCGTGTTTCTTTGTTCCTCCGGTTGGATGCGGGTCTTCTCGGGGTTGGTTCGGGCTCGGGTTTCAGCTTCTGTATAGGCGGTTCGGCAGTTTCGGAAGCAGTGCCTCGGGCTTGGGCTCTTCCTGGGTTGATCGTTTCTCCGCTGGTTTGGGCTCGTTGGTTGGCTGGGGAAGGGCTCTCTCTATTGATTTATAAGTTTTTGTTTTAGTTTTGGTATGTTTTGAGTCTGTGTTGTGATTTTTGGTCTTGTTTTTTAGGTTTGGGTTGTTGGCCCATGTTCTGATTCCCCTGTGGGGGGCGTTTCATATTCNATGGATAATTATTTTTCATTAAATTCAACTAATATAGTGTACAATTTTGCATGAAAATTTTGAATTTGAATGAGCTGATGTAAAAATCTCTATTACAAAAAATGACTTTTCTTATATATATATTTTGGTTGTATCTATAGCATATCAATACTTAATATTTCTTTTGCATGTGAATAGTCAATATACAAATTAAAAAAATAATTTTAACCATTCAAATTTAATGGTTTAAACATTATCTTGTAACAACGCAACAGTTACATTCTCCAAATATAGAGAAGTAAAAAATGGTAATCGCATGTAACCGTTACAAATCTAAAATAAAGTAAAAAAATAAGTGGATGATTGGATGGAATAAATTAAAAGAAAAAAAATATGTTGTAACGGTTTTTGGATGGAGGTCATGAAATTTTTTATTGAATGCAACCTATTTTTGTTAAATGTACTCATATTATTATTAATTGAAGCTGAATAAAATTAATTAAAGCTTTCCAACAATTATATATATATATATGTGTGTGTGTGTGTGTGTGTGTGTGTGTGTGATAGAAATTATTTATGAGTATTTTGTAATAAATATCAATGATAAACCACGAAAATGGATATAAAAGAGGATATTGTCGCTTCTCTCCTCTCTCTCACTAAAACCCTAGCCGATCCGTCGCCTATAATTCCACCGGTCGAATCTCCCTCGCCAGACGTCCGGGTCCGTCGGTGGACGGCCTCCGTCGCTCGTCCATGGTGGTGCCGCCCTCGTCCCATCTGCTGAAGCTCCGTCCTGGGTTGCGTGTCTAGGTTCAGATGGCTATGGTCATGGTGCGGTGCTGGTTCATGGACGAGGCTGGGTCCAATGCAATCGGCTTTGGCTAGGATGCAGCTTCACCGCCCTGCTCGCCCTTCTCGCTGCCGGTCAGGACCTGTGCCTTCTCGGCGGCGAAGCGGCGATTGGCAGAGGGCTCTTCCAATTCGACACCCGGCTGTGTCACTTGAAGGTTTGCTCTTGCTATTGCTGTTTTTGTCTCGGTTTTCTATTCTGTCCACGATCAGAGGGACCTCTTGGTTCTTTCTTGGTGAGATGGATACGGGGTTCACGGTTGGGGGTCATTGTTACTGCTAGGGTCAGGTTGCTGCTTCTAGTTAGTGCTCGGATGCCGGTTGTAGCCGATTCGGGTTAGGTTGTGTGGTCGCTGTTTCAAGAGGGCTGACTCGGTGAAGCCGAGCCGTGTTTGCTTATTCACGTGATTGGAGTGCGGGTCAGATCTTTGGTTAGTACTGGGGTGCAGGTACCCGTCTTGCTAGGCCTTCTGTAGTGGCAGGCGGTCGTTTCCGTGCTCTGGAGCTGTCTTTGGAATTGGTTTGTATGCCGTAAATCTAGATGTATCGGGCGGGGGAGGCTGTGTCCTCCTTTATGTTTTTGTTTTAGTTTTGCTTGGTCTGTGTTTATGTTATTTATGTATTTTCGGATTGTGTTTTGGTCAGGGCCGTTGGCCTCTGTGAACCCGTGTGAACCCGAGTGTCACCTTATTATCCTGTTGGGATCTGACACTCGGGTATTACTCTGTTGGGGTCCTTTTTAGTTGTGTTAGTTTTTGTTAGTTGTTAGTGTAGTTGTGAGTTTGTCATTCTTACGTTGCTAGACGGTTCTAGGCGATCTTCGGATCTGCCTCCCAGTTTTATAGTCTCTGGTTGTATTATTCACCCTTTGGCTGCTTTCTTTTCGCATTTTGTGCGGTTTTATTAATATAGTACCTCTATCCTTTCGGGAAAAAAAACCACGAAAATGATAATTTTACTTTATACTAGTAATCATCATGAGAACATGCACAGATGTACATAAAATATTATAAGTAATATATGAGAATTTAATATTAAAATTCTAGATAATGAACACATTTCATTTTCAAAATTTAATTATTAGGAAAAATAAAATAACAATTGTTTGTTATTATAAACAATGGTTTATTATCATTATTTAGTAACAATTTGATTATTATTATTATTATTATTATTACGAAAACAATTGTTTACAAGATTTTAAAGTTGTTTGACTATGCTATTAAAACTATTTACTTGTTTTTTTTTTAAAAAAAAAATCATGAGATATAAAAGAAAAAAATAATATCGATGGTAAAATAAATAACTTGAAACAATTGTTTATAATTATATAACTTATATTTATTGTGAATTATTATTAGTTGGTATTAGCATTTACTATTATATAATATAATAAAAAAATACATGATTACACTCTATAGGATGTATTCATGTGAGAAGTAAAAAAATATTGATGATAAATTTTGTAACCGAAAATGGAGGGAAAAATTTAGAGGTTTTATTTATGAGGTTTTCTTAAATGCCATAGCTAGTAATTATATATATAGATATAGATCAAAATATACATAGTTACTATTTTATTATTAGCTAAAAGAATATGTTATAAATTAAATAATAATTAGTGAAAATTCATACACATAAAATATTAAAATAATTATTTATTTAATAAGTGCAAAAATCCACCAGCTTGGTATATTATGATTTAGGGGAATCCTACCATCCCGTTACGGGATGGTTCCGTTATATTTTGTAGTCGTAGATATACTTGTAATCTAATAATGTACAGTAATCTATGGTTAAATAATTCAACAGAACCATCCCGTAACGAGATGGTAGCATTCTCCTGATTGTTATTTTATTTACAATTTTTATGTGTTATTTTTTATAAAATATCAAAATAATTATTTGTTTTACAAGCACAAAAAATACCAATTTCGTAAATTCGGATTTATTTTATTTACTTTTTTTACGTGTTATTTTTTATTTTTATTATTATTATTTTTTTAATTTCTTGGCATGGCATTGAAGATTATTTTTCTTATTTCAAACTGAGAAATGAAAAAAAAAAATTCTCTCTCCTGATTTTCTCCCTAAATTGTCACTGCGAACACTCGTACCTATTTTTCCTTTTGTGTCTTCCCTCCACGGGTGCTTCGTAACCTACCCTTTCGTCCAACTCTTGCGCCGGCAATGCTGTTTCCTTGTGGGTCTTCAGTCCTCCTCTGACGTGGTGCTTCCCCTCTTACTTGGTTGGCCATGGCGGGGTTGGTGGCGATTCGTCGGCTTGTGGGCGACATCGACGTTGCGAGCTCCAGCCGGTGTCCAGCGGCTGTGGCCAGGGCAGAGGCAGGGCTTGGCTTTTCCCCTATTATTTCCTTTCTTGGTATTGGATTGGTAAGTTTTTTCGATGTGGCGGCTCCCTTGTCCGTTTGAGTGGGTTTAAGGTATCCGGTTTGTGTTGGGGGTGGAGTTAGACGTGGTCTTCAAATGTTCACGATTGAGTTTCCTTCAACTTTGTTAAAATGGAGTTTGGGGTTTTATTTTTTTTTTAAAATTAAATAAACTTTAGGGACCAATCTACAATTTTAAAAACCTTTAATAATAAAGTAATATAATTGCTGATTGATTATACAAATTACTAAAAATATATTAAATATAGAATATTGTTTAATATATGTTTGGTTATTCAATTTAAATTTTTCATAAATTTTATATTAGTATTTTATATGTTTTTAATTGATATTTTATATTATTGTTTGATTAAAAAAAATTAGTATATATGTAAACGAAACATGTTATGCAATCTAAAAGTTATTAAGGTGCAATTAGTCTAACAATATGGTGCATGGTATCGGTTTGTATTGTGCATACTGTATCAACCGAATTCTTATCCTAAGTTAAATTGAAAATGAACATATTTAATTAGTTTATTCGATTCAGTTAACCGAATTATCCTAAACAATCGAAATAATTTGTTATTTATACTAAATTTATATTTAATATGTTACTAATTTATTTATTATTTTTATTTGTGGTTGAAAATATTTGAGTTCGGCCGGTATCGATCTTTATTGTGCAATATGATAACGTCATAAAGTGTAATGTGTTGTTTTGTAAAATGCAACGTGTTGTTTTATAAAGTGCAGCGTTTTGATTTATAAAGTGCAATACGGAGTTTTTATAAGTAGAAAATGTAAGTTTAGTAGAACCAAAATATAAAATTTCAAACCGAAAAATTTAGTTGGTTGATTTTTAATATTGTGCAATCATATAGTCATTAGTGTACAATCAATATAATTATAATGTGCGGTTGCAAAACATAAAAATATATAAATCAATAATAATAATAATATTTTTTATATAACTCGACTATTTCAATTTTGATCGAAATAATCAAAATATATAAATTTTAAAATCATTGAAATAACTTTATTTCAGTTTAATTTATCGAAGCCAAAGTAACTTAAATTTTAAAAACAATCGACATATATAAGAACATAGATAGTTATTTCAGTTTTGATCAATATTGTGCGGTCTGACACACGTTAATGTGCAATATGTCTAACACTAAGGTGTAGTGTTTCAGTCGCTAATGTGCGCTAATGTGATACATTTATAACTAGGTTTATATTATTTTTTTTATTTATTATTTAAAATGTATGCATATAAAAAATATATGGAAAATAATTTTTTTTATTAATTTTATATAATTTCATATTTAGCCTAAGGGAGAAATTGAAATATGATAAAAAAATTTTAAATTTCCAATAAGCCCTTACACATTATCAAATTTTTGAAAAAAAAGAAACCCAATCCCTAAATTGATTTTCAGTCATTTTTTCGGCGAGTTGGCCTTACACATTAGTATTATTGTGTGTGTGTGTTCTCCGGCGGGATTGTCAATCGCCATTCGAACGTGATTTTCCGATCAAAGCTTCAATTTTTTAAGACGTTAGCATCGTGCTCTGAGCGCACGGCAGCGCATGCGGCGGCTGCGAGCGTCAGTGGCGAGCTGCTCCGACGGTCGCGGCGGCTCTTTGCAGGGTGGTCAAAAGTACGAGTGGCGTGAGTTTTCCGATCGAAGCTTTAGTTTTTTAGGACGTCGGTGTCAGGCTCGGAACGTGCGTCAACGTATGTGGCGGCTGCGATTACCGGCAGCGTGGTGCTATAGGGCGGCTAGCTGGAGAAAGAAGAAGATGTGGCCAAGAATATGGTGGCGGACGATTTTCTGGCATGCATTGGCGACATGGAACTTGACGGTAGACGCCCGACGGCGGCGGTGCCGCCCGAGGAGGCTGACGGAAGATAGTGGACTATGACTCTTGTGTGTTGCATAAGTGTGTGTAATTGTGAGAGAGATAGTGACGGGGAGAGAGGATATAATAAAAGAGAGAGAGAGAGAGGTGGTTGGGGTGGGTGGTAGTTGGGTTAGGTGGGCAGATGTATCAATGTGGAATGGGACCACCTGATTGATTATAGTGTAAAAATTACTGTAATGCCCTTAATGAAGGTATATTTTGGTACTTTTATAAACCGTTGGATCATACGATCTAATGGCTATGGTGTATTCTTATTTCTTTCATTGAGCAACATCTCACTAGAGCGTGACCCTATATATATATATATATATATATATAGGAGATGGATCCAATGAGTCCACCTCTTAAAATGTGGACGTGAGACTCAATTTAGTCACTCATTTTGTTTACATCAAGAATTTATGTTAATCAATTAAAATATATATTGATTAAATTAGTAGTTGACTCCGACGTTGACCGTTGACTCTGGCGTTGACTATTGACTTCCGGCGTTGACCGTTGACTTCCGGCGTTGCCCCGTTGACCTTAGTATGCATCATGTATGAAAGAATAATTAAAGACAACTAACCTAGCGATAACAGACAACTAACCTAGCAACTAGACATAACTAACTTAACAACATCAGACAACTAACCTTGCAACTACATTTAACTGACCTAGCAACTACATTTAACTAACCTAACAATAACAGAAAACTAACCTAGCAACAATAGACAACTAACCTAGCAACTACTTAGAACTAACCTACCAACTACTTAGAGGAAAAAACTCATGCTCTCTCTCTATCTAGAAAATATCCTCCCCCTTCTCTCTAGAAACCCTTCACCCAAATCCAACCATTATTCAACAATCACAAATTTTCTGTCCAGTTTTTCAGTTTTCCGGCAAGCCGGCCCCGGTCATCCCCTCCCCTCGCAGAAACCAAAAACACCAAAAAAATCAAAATCTCGTTTACAGTTCTTTACCCTATTTCTCAAATTTAAGTTAAAGTCTCGGATAGTCATGGCCCCTCCGGTCATTTCTCCGGCCAACAGACAAGATCCGCCTTCCAGTCAACCGTCGGAGGTGGAAATCTTCATGTCTCAGCCGGAATTCAGAGAGGCTATTTCAGCCTTGCTTGAAAAAAACAAATCCAAAATCTTCGAAGCAGGAGAAAACAGAAAAGTCGAAGAAGAAAAAAATATTTGAAAGCTTTGAGCAAAATCGCGGTGAGGCGTCATCGTCGGAACTCAAGGCTAAGAGTACAGAAAAGCGTAGCTCAAAAAATGGCCACACGGACCAGTCGTATGTTTATGGCTCGCAACCTGATTGGTATCGAGACCATTTCTGAACAAAGAGAAGGCATATTGGGCCAAAAATTATCTCCCTTGCCTGGGCCCAATTCGGCCTCACCACAAGCCCACCCGTCTTGGCCCAATTCAGCCTCATTGCAATCCCATTCCATTCCTACTCAGCCCATTTCCCTAACCTCCTACCTGGGCCCGCTGTCATCGACCCACCTTCCAACCAATCTCGGCTCCCAGCCCATAACCCAACCTCAGCCCACCAACCAACCCACCCAATTTAGCCGTGTCTTGGGCCTCTCTCTTTTCGGGCCCGTTCCTCAGACCAACACCTCTCATCCCATAACCCAGCCCACCTTCCATGCCATTTCCAAGCCCACCACCACCATCACTCAACCCACCCAGCCCGCCATCACCCCTCAGCACTTTTTCCAGACCGCCAACACACAGACTCCTCCACAGCCTGCCACTATTGCTGCCATCATCACCCAACCGGCCGACGTAGTTCACCAGACCATCGCCGGCACCGGTGCCACCGCGGTCACCAGAAAATCCCAGCCGGCCGGATCTCCACCGGGGGATGTCCCAGAAGAGTTTTTACGGCCGAAATTCTCGGACCTCGACCACGGTCACCTTCTCCGACCGAACAACTCACCAGAAGAACCACTCTTGCTGCCGAAGATATTGAACCGGTCGTCTTATATGTGCGTGAAGACAGTGTGGTTGTTGTGAGCCCAAACACGACGTCCGCGGCCCAAGTTTCCGGACATTCCTCAAACGGGACACCTCCGACGGGCGCCTCCTCGGCCAACCCCGCTACAGCCGGGCCACCTACGGGCACTTCCAATGACCAGCTCTCCTTCCGCGAGGCTATTACGGGGAGAAGAGATGGCGTCCCACGCCCAACACCCAAGGAGTTCACCTTCGACGGGCAATATGAGCATGCTTGCGAGACTATCGTCCGTTCGGAGGGAAACAAGGTGAAGGTCCGATTCACTCAAGCCGAAGCTGACGCCCTCGCCGGTAAGTTAGCTAACACCCTAGTTTTTAAGTTCACCTATGCTATCCCTCCCCCCAAAAATATTTCTGCTGGATTAGGTAAATTGGGTTTTAAGGGTAGATTCTTGTTTAAGTGGTATAACTTTAATCATCTCCTAGTCTCCTTTCACCTCCCCGTGGATTATAACGAGGCTTGGCTTAAGACCTCAATTCTAGTGTGTGGATGCCCAGCTAGGGTGTTCAAGTATACCTCTGGGTTCAACCCGAAGACGGAGACACCCGTTGTCCCCGTGTGGTGCCGTCTCCCCGCCTCCCACCCCACCTTTACGACCGTGATTCCATCACTATGCTTGCCAAGTGCATCGGCAAGCCAGTTCGCATCGATGCCCCGACGGCCCTCCAGTCGAGGGCCAATGTGGCACAATTTTGTGTTGAGATCGACCTCAGAGTCGAGCCCGTCCACGAGATTGAGATTGAGCAGGGCTCGGGGACCTTTGCTCAATGGGTGATCTATGAAAAGATTCCCGCGTTCTGCACTTTGTGCAGTCATGTGGGGCATATAGCGGCTGATTGCTACACTAGTCGCAATAAGCCACGACCCACACTACCGCAGCGCCACCGTGCGACTTCCGTGGCTCTCCACCGCCCGGAGGGACCCGAAGGGAAAGGGCAAAATCCCTCTCCGTGCGCTCGAGACCCCGAAGGGGACTAAGGATAAAGGCAAGGCTGTGATCGACGCCACTGCCCAAACTGGGAAGGATGCTCATCCTAACCAGACTAAGCAGTTGGCTATAGTAGGGCCCAAGCCCAAGTCCACGAGCTTTCTTCCCAGACAAACCTTCCAGTCGGCCTTCAAGGCCAACCACTCGTACTTTGCTATTCTCTCCCCAGAGGCAGAGGATGAGGCTGTGCCTTCCACCAGTGGCCCACCTAAGATTACGGACCTTACGCTTCTAGACGATGACGATCTCCTTATAGACGATATGGACCAGTCGGGTGCCTCGACCAGTGGCGAGTCCATCCACTTATCTGATGACAGTGCCCGCGACGTTGTTCCTTTGACTGTGCATGCATCTAGCACGGACCGTTCTCTGGATTTGAGGGCTGCTGCCATCACCCCCCCTCCCCCCGCAAGGGAATGAGCCGGCTCATCTTTCCTCTGCTGAGATTGGGAGCTCGGCTTGGCATATAGGCAGTCCCCATCCACCCTCTGGCGGCGAGCACCTGAGTGCTCCGCCTGCTGGATCTCTTCCCCCTCTCCTTGAGCATGCATGCGGTCTTAACCGCGCCCAGCATGACGTCTCGTGCTAGAGCTTCCCTTCTAGTGCTTTCGTTCACTATGACAGACAGGAGACTGCCCCGGAGATGAGGCAGCCCGCTAGTGCCGTTCTAGGTCAGACTGGCCAGCCAGACGATTTGCAAGCCACGAGCACCTACCGAGGCCGGCACTCCATGAGGACCAAATCCACGCCGCACACAACACGACGGACTGTCTCTCCTGCTCTTCGATCCTTGCGCCACCTTCTTTCTTTAGGTGGCTCGACTCAGCCTCGCCACAGGCGGACTAGGTCCGGTGGCTCTTGTGACTGTTGATATGTCTATCACATCTATAACTTAGAATGGCCGTGGCCTGGCGAATAGGGCCACTCTCGCTCACCTTCATTCTCTCATCCGTGACCATAGACTTGATTTTGTTGGCTTTATTGAGCCGATGATTCGCACACCTTCTTTTGACTACTACTCACGTCGCCTTGGCTTCCACTCAGGCGTGGGTAACATTTCGCATAAGATCTGGTTATTCCACTCGCGTGACTACACTTGTCGGGTTCTCCGTGACACCGATCAGGTGCTTCACGTCGAGCTTTCGGCTGCCCACCTCCCAGAGCCCATCTTTCACACCTTGGTTTATGCCAAGTGTACAAGGGTCGGGCGATATGATCTTTGGGACACCCTGCGTGAGATTGCTGAGAGTATAGAGGGATTGCCATGGATGGTTAGTGGCGATTTCAACACCTTTCTGCATCCCGATGAGCGTGTGGGTGGCCGTTCGGACCGGACACGAGAGATGTGGGATTTTGCTCAGGCGGTGGCGGACTGTGAGTTAATTGACGCTGGATGTGATGGTGAGCCCTTCACGTGGGTGAGGGACGGACTCAAAGAGAGGCTCGACCGTGCCTTGGTTTTTGAGGCATGGGCGAAGGTGTTTGCGGTTACGACCGTCACACACCTTACTCGATTTGGATCTGACCATTCACCCCATCTCATTCGGTGTCGATTTTCGAACACCCCCCGCTGCTCTTCCTTTAGGTTCCAGAACATGTGGGTTCGCCACCACTCCTTCCACGGCACTGTAAGTGATTCCTGGCTTCAGCCGACTGGGCTCTTCGGGATGCGTAATCTCGAGGCGAAGCTCGGCAGACTGCAGTGTCGGTTCAGACAGTGGAACTGTGATGTTTTTGGAAACCTTCATCAGCGCCTTTCTGCGGCTCAGAGTGTGCACGCGGCGGCGGAGAGGGCCTACGACCTGGACCCCACTCCAGAGAATAGGACTGCGATGCACCGCTGCCACGCCGAGTACCAGCTCCGACTCCTTATGGAGGAGGATTTTTAAAAGCAGAAGGCGGTCGTTCGCTGGGTGGCCGAGGGCGAGCAGAACTCTAGGTTTTTCTAGGGCTACGTTAGGCAGAAGCGTGCTAAGTCGTATATCCATAGTATCGAAGATGATGGGTCATCCCTGACCCAGAAGTCTCAGATTCGGGAGTGGGCTGTTGCTCACTTCCAGACCCTTTTCACCTCTAACAGAGGTCCCTCTTTGCCCCGACCGCTTCTTTCTTCCCCACCATCCCTCCTTCGGTAGATCTTGTTGGCCTATGTGAGCTCCCGAGTAGGGAGGAGGTTAGGGATGCTATTTTTGGGATTGATCCCAACAGCGTTTCTGGTCCGGATGGTTTCACTTCTCTCTTCTACCAGGTCTGCTGGGATTTAGTCGAGCCTGACATAGAGGAGGCAATGTTGAATTTTTTCTCCGGTCACCGAATGCCGGATTCCTTCACGTCTACCTCTGTCGTCTTGATTCTCAAAAGACCCAATCCGAGCTCTTGGTCCGACTACAGGCCCATCAGCCTGTGTAACGTGACCAACAAGCTCATTTCGAAGATTCTTAACGGCCGTCTTTCACCTCTTCTCCCCTCCCTGATCTCTCTGAACCAGAGTGGCTTCATCAAGGATCGGGTCATTAGTGATAACATCCTTTTGGCCCAGGAGATGATCCACGACATCTCCCGTGCGGATTGAAAGCGCGCTCCAAATATTGTGCTGAAGCTAGACATGGCTAAGGCGTATGATAGGGTGGAGTGGCCGTTTCTTAGGGAGGCACTGGCTAGGATGGGATTTCCTGAGCGTTGGATCAGTTTCGTGGAGGCGTGTGTGGAGCACTGCACGTTCTCGGTCTTGGTTAATGGCAGCCCCACCGACTTTTTCCCCTCCTCTAGAGGCCTTAGACAAGGCGACCCCCTTTCCCCTTTCCTTTTCGTTCTTGCGGCAGACTATCTCTCTCGCTGCCTTGACTGCTTCATCCGCGACTCTCCTCAAATGACCTATAGCACCCGTGGCTATGGTCCTCCCATCTCGCATCTCTCTTATGCGGATGACATCATCATCTTCACTCGGGCGGATGATGATGGACTGGTCGAGCTTATGCGCCTTCTGGAGCACTATAGCTCGGTTACCGGCCAGCTGGTCAGTGTGCAGAAGAGCACCTTCACCCTCTCCTCTTCCAGCGCTGACAGATGGGCTCAACGGGTCCACGAGATTACTAGCTTTGTGCGCGGCGACCTTCCTATTACCTACCTTGGTGTCCCTTTATATAAGGGCAACATCACGAGAGCGCTCTTTGCGGACGTCAGACAGAGGATGATCGACAGGATTTCTGGTTGGTCGCATAGACAACTTTCTTTCGGTGGTCGGCTTGCGCTGATCAAGAGCACTCTTAGCTCCCTTCGGCTTCATTTTCTTATGGTCCTCGACCCCCCCTAAGCTACTATTGACAAGATTGACCAGATTATGGCTCGTTATTTTTGGGGTTACGAGGACGGTCTTGGGAGGAGGATACATACCCACTGGGTGAGTTGAGACTCTATCTGCCGCCCCTTCTCTGAGGATG